CGAGATCGACGATATCCAACTAACGAGCTACCTTGCGCCTAGAATATCACTTCGTTTGTGCCAAAAGAAAAATGAAAGAAAGAAAGAAAGGAAGCAAGAAAGAAAGTAAGAAAGAAGAGGACAACGAGAGAAGTAAAGAAAGAAAGAGAGTATGGGTGGGGAGGGGATGGAAGGGTTAACCGAAAGAGAAAGATGGATAGATTGATAGAGAAAAATAGATGGAAAGAGAGAGGTAAGGTGGGAGGGGGTTTTGATGGAGAGACAGAAATAAGGAAAGAAAGATTTAATTTTTTTTTCCTCGTTCATTGGTCGCGGTTGTTCATTATCGAGAAATTCTTATAGGTTTCATTCACCATCGTCTTTCTCTATCTTTTTACACGACTTCTTCTTCTTCTTCTTCTACTTCTTCTTTTTCTTCTTCTTAGAGCGAGCCGCAAGACCGATCGTGCGTGAAAACACGTGCGAGAAACGCTTCTTTTTTTTCCTTTTTCTACTCTTTCTTTATCTTTATTGTAGATACTTATCAATTATGTATTTTGATATACAGGTACTTAGTTAAATATTGAAACTATCAGATTAGATAAAAAACAAAAGATATATCTTAGATACCTTTATTTCTTTCATTAATAAATTGAATGATTAAATTAATGTAATATATATATATATATTTTTTTTTTTGGAGTATATTTCAAATTGACAGAAGTGGTTAAGAGAGACGATTCGATTTAAATAAAATTAATTATAATTATAAAAATATATAATGAAAACAAGGAAATATAAAAAAGATATCGTTGGAATTAAGAAGATTCACGTTTTCAGTGTAAATTTTTGTGTGTTATTTGAAATAAATTTAATTCTCCGAGCAAGACACGGGTCAAAGGTTTCGAGACTCGAGATAAAACGAGATTAGCGTATCTACCAGCTATCTATCCGTCCGTTCATATCTACATGTATCTTCTTATCTACCTGTCTCTAAACTCCTCTCTTCTTCTCTGTCTTTCAAACACTAGACTTACGCCATACCCTTGAGGAATATTTTGCAAGAAAAAGAAAGAAAGAGAGAGAGAGAGAGAGAGAGAGAGAGAGAGAAAGAGAGTCGATAACGATCCTCGTTCAACCTCGGGGCTATGTTATCCGATATGTATAGAACCGTGCGAAATAACTTGCAAATTACAAAGCTTGTGTCAGAAGAGGCACAGCACGTTTTCAATTTTTATTTTTCTATCATACTTTTGTGCTCTCTTGACTAGAGACCCTTCTCCTTCCTCTTATTCTTCTTCTTTTTCTTATTTTTACAATATTCCTTGAAACAAGCTCGTCTATTCTAATCATCCGATCGCATATTGTCATAAGTTTAATATCAAAATCATATTACCTTATAAATATTTTAACATTTCATCAATAAATCCCGTGTTAACTGAACAAAATTATCCTACATATTGTATTTAAGATTTTGTTGTTATTTACATTAAAATAATACGTTTGAAATATTGTATAAAAATAATCGAATTTTTATTAGAAACAAATTAGAGTTGTTTTAAAAATATGAAGAAAAATATTTCGATTTTTCTTCTATCTTTCTCTGTCTCTCGTTGTCTTTAAAAAATAAAAATCATTAATAAAATTATTTTAATTTTCAATGAAAAAAAAATACATAAAACACATCAAACCAAATAATAAAAAGAGAAAAAAAAGAAATCACATAAAAGATATACACTTAATTCTCTTTTTTAAACAACCGGTATCATTCTGTAAGAATAAAGACATAAATACGAAACGTACGCCAGTTCGTGTCTACCACGTTGTGGAAGAATCAGTTTTTCGATTAGTCGTAACCGGTCTTCTGGATGGGTATCTACTAAGTATTTAAGTATATAAATACATTATATACATACATATGTAAACATACGAATATAAACGCCAGAAGGATTCAATCAAATCGTATCGGTAGATTAAAAAAAAGATCCCTTTTGGATATACACACTACTGGCCAAAAAGTTTACAGTCAATTGCTAATTTTTCTAAAAATCGAACACACTGACATATTTACAAACGATATATCATTATTATTTCAAATATTACCAAGTACATAATGTGTTTCAAGAATTTTCAGTATTTTTTTTATGTCCATAATACTCTTATACACTTTTTACAACACTTCAAATGAACTATCCTATCGGAGACACCTTTGCATAAAATCAATCTATAAAAAGAATAATACAAAATGAGAAACATATTATTCGTAAGTTTTAAATGAATAAATTTACCTTGGCTGCTTTAAAAGAATTCATTTTTTTTCCTTATAAAAAATTAAGTTTCATTGAATTGACGCAATAATTTCTAACTTTTTGTGGTATATCGTTGAAATATCAAAATTGACGAGATTCTATCTTCGTGATATTCTCTGGTTGTGAGGAAGAGGAAGCGTGAAGAATAAAAGGCTTAGACTTGCGTTAAATTTTGTTGTAACTCACTTGAAGGCGTATCGATAGACTCTTTTTTCATCGTCATCTTCCTTCAATCTTTATATTATCTTTTTCTGCAGGTCACGATAACGGTTATTTTAACCATGAACGTTCGTTCCTCTCAAAAGGCAAAGTAGTTAATGAATATCGTTCAACGACATTATTTACATTGTCATTTAGCGGCTGCCATGCGTGTCGACTGTGATTACGGGAACGTGTTTATCGTATAAACGCGATCTATCTCTTCGACCGGTTATCATACATCGATCAAACAAGGATGCTGCGAGATCGACCGATTTTACTCTGACGTTAGTATATTATTCATCTTTTTTGCACATTTATTTATAGTTTTATTTTTTTTTATCGACAACACTTGGTAGATAAGCAAGTATTACTTACAAGATGAACGAATACTGTGAAATATATTTTTCTTTTATTTTCTTTTTTTATCCTTCTGTCAATCAAATATCGATCTTTTAATAATCATCACATTTTTTGTGTACTAACAAAAAGTATTATTTCTATTTATAAGAGAGTACAAAATATATCAAAAGAAATGAATGAATTAATAAATAAATAAAGTGTGTTGATATAGGCATAGCTAGAAAAAGTTAAGAGAAGAAATATTTGAAAATATGATTAGTTTGAATTACTAATAAGAAAAAAAAGTGTTAAATATCACGATATCGTAATTATTATCAAATTTCTTACTTTCAACGCTAACGATAAGTATCATTTTTTTAATTGTAAGAGTACAAAATATATATTGGCAGATAATCTAATTGATTAATTAATACATTAACTTGTGTGGTATACAAGTAACTGGAAAAAGTTAAGAGAGAGAAAATATTTATAGAGTTTGTAAGTGAGCCTGAGAAGTGAGAAAGAGAGAAAGAGAGAGAGAGTGAGAGTAAAAGAAGGGAATGAGAAGAGTAGAAACCGAAAAAGCATAGGCGAGTAAAAATAAGAGTAAGATGCTTTCCCCTCAGGAGTCTCATCCATCAGTCACTTAATATTTCAAAGCAGCGCCCTGTGCCGCATCCGAAGCATCTCTCTCTCTCTCTCTCTCTCATATACAAAGATAGGACGCAGTAGGAAGCAGCTGACGTGGGTCCTCCTTTCCTCTTGACGCCATTTTTAAAAGCTTAAAACATACGCGCTTTTTGGACCTTTTCGTTTTTTTTTCCTTCTCGCGCGAGTTACTTGCTTAGGGATATTAGACGAAGGATTCGGAAGGGTCTCGGCAGTCTCTTTTCCGAAAAAGGGGGAGAAAAGAAACGACGACTACTCGTCGAAGAAGATTTTTAGGCATGAGAAAAGAAGAAGAAGAAGAGGAGAAGGGGGAGAAGGGGGAAGAGAACGACAAAGAAGAGCGTCGATTTCAACGTGGAAACCCTCCAAGCTCTAACCTTCGCACGAATTTCAAATTTCTTCTTCTTCTTCTTCCTTTACCTTTTTCTTTTTCAATCCTTAGACACCTCCCCGACGACGAAATGCGTCTTCTCATATCCGCGAGAATCCGCTCAGTGACGCCCACGCGACGCGGTCGACCTTTCGAATCGATTTACGCGCACCGTCGAAGAAAGTGCCTTCGTAACGTTCCAGATAAAGAGGGTTATTGTTTTTCTATGCTCGACTTGGAAGAAGGGAAGAAGAAGAAGAAAGAAGAGGTAGAAGTTTTACGAAAGTATCTTGATCTATCTATCTATCGATCGATTGATCGATAGATCGATCCTCGGATCTATAAAATCCATACGGTCCACTGCTGTTTCCTTTTATATTCGTACGATGCCAAACACTTCAACTAAGTTTCACTCTAGTCCTTTTTTTTCTTTATTCGAGATAAAGTTTTTAATAAGTTTCCATCTCTTCGTTCAACGTTCCTATCGCACCTAACAACACACACATACACACGTAAGGGTATATAAATGCATTCATATACGCGTAGATGAATTTATACACGTGTATATACAGTGAGTGTTAGTAGTATTCGTATATGGCAATCAATTTATACAAAAATTTTGTAGAATTTTGTTCATTATAGAAACAATCTTAATAATGTATTATATATATGTGCATATTTTTAGAAATCTTTATATAAAACTAATATTATTTAAAAATAATTATTTTAAGATAAATTAGCAGAAAATTGATCGAAGATAATTAGAAAGAGTTTGATTTTAAGTTCTGTTGTATATTTGCGTGTGTTTTTAATTATTATTAATTCTTTTCTTTTTTTTTTAAGTTTAATTTGTGTCTTATTCTTTTCCGATAAATTTGTTAAAATAATTTTTAATAATTAACTCTAACACGTAAATACATTACGAATCGATAAGTAAACTATTCGGATATAATAATTTCGGTAATGTAATATTATATAAGTGAAATATTATTATTAATCTTACTTTTGTTAGAAAAACTGTCGACGAATGTCTGCACGTCTATCCTTGACTGTTGCTGATTTGTAAATGTGACCGTTGTGTTTTGATTTCATCGGTTATACTCTCTCTTCGTTGTATATCACTTTCAGTCATTCGGCGGTCGTCGGAACGAGAACATTGTCAACAAGTATGTACATTTAATATTAATTATTTAATTATTTAATATTTTTTACCTATTTAGACCTATCGTACCATATATAGTACTGTTAATTAAATAAAATTAAATGACGTAATCAATCAACTTTTTAATAGGCACGTGCCAATTTTACCAAATAAGGGACGAATAATTTCCAAGGATTTTTTTTCTGTGTTATTTTTCTAATGATTTTTAATTATCCATTTATAACGAATATTTTTTATTTGTAATTCTAATTTAATTTGTTTTTAAGGTCTAACATAAATGGGTAAAATTACATTTCAATTTACGGGAACAATTTTATTTCGAATTTTAATTTTATTAGAAAAGATCTAAACGAACGTTTATACTTGGTTGTTGTTGTCTTCTAAATGCGACCGTTGTGTTTTGATTGCGTTTACATTATACTTCCTTCCATTTGTTTATCATTTCACTCGTTTTTAGGTCGTCGCAGAGATAACAGTTCGCGTAAAAATATCCTACCAAGTATATATATAAAAATTTTGTTATTTTAGTTGTTCACACTTAAATATTTCTAATAAGATCGTTTCTATAAAATACAAATGTTTCTATCGTATAATCTTGTTTCATTAAAACATAATTTTGATATTTATCGTATTATAAAATGAGATAGAGTATATTATGCAAATTCTAAACTAACCTATTTCATTTTACAAAAAATTTCCTCATATGACACATACGAATAATTAAATGTTATCAACATTGAAAACAATTTTGAAAATCATGTGTTTTTTTTTAATAACATCGATAACGACTTTACTGTTTCACCCTGTTACATTTAGATATATAATTAATTAATAATAATCCAAATATTTTCGAGATAACAACAAAATTATGTATGAGAAAATTACTGATGATAGATAGAAAGTATAAAAAAGATACTACAATTCTAAATATATATGTTGAACCCGTGTTTGGTTCACGCGGGACCAGACTCCGACAAGATGCTGGAGGCTCTTTCGAAGATGTTTCAGAAATATTCTCGAATTAATATAATCAAGATTTGTACGATAGAGTGGGATGAAAAAATTCAAGCCTATTCTTTACTAAAACTATATTAAAACCATATCGAAAAATAAGCATACATTTGAGCGAACAAAATTGTTTCTATGGAAGATTAAAAATTTGTTAATCAACCCACGTATAAGAAAGTCAATTAAGATTACCGTTAATGGGATAGTATAGAATTAATTTTTTAGTTAATATGATTTTTGTTGTTAGAAAATATTCATCGAATGATAGATTCGAAAAATAGAAAGCGTAGAAAAGACGTTACAATTGTAAATAGGGTGGGGTGAATTGATGTTTGGTTCACGCGGAACCAGACTTCGACAAGATGCTGGAGGCGCTTTCGGAGATGTTTCAGGAATATCGAGGACGTAATTATCCCATAATTACCGAGCACGGTCTTGACTCTCGAGCAGGATCGTCTGAGAAAAGCGAGGATAGACTCGGTGGTCGGCCTTGTGCGGTAATTGTACTAATTATTACTATCTCCTCTTTCCTCTTTCCTCTACCTCGACACGGATCTCGCATTTCCCTCCTCCTCCTCCCCCTTCTTATATTCCTCTCCTCTCGACCCACCCTCTTCGACAACAATTATCTACTGTTTGGTTAAAATTGTGTGTGTGTGTGTGTGTGTGTATGTTTATGCGTTCGTTGTGTGTCAGATTTCAAAGAGAGCTCGTTTCTTTGTAAAAAGAAAAAAAAAAAAAGGATAAAATTAAGGGATCGACCTTCGTTAAAATTCTCAAGAAAAAAAGAAGAAAAGAAAAATGTACGAGACTAAGAATTCATACAGAAATTTTATCGTCATACATAATTTTTACTTTTGGAGTAAAAAATTTCGTTCCTTTTTTTTAATTTTTTTTTTTTTTATTTGCTTAGCAGGCTATAAAATATTTTCGTCGAGAAGGATAAATATAATTTATCTTTATGGATGATTCACACGAGTACTTAAATATAAGCGATAGCGTGCGTAATACGCGACTCGTATTTTAATAAACATCGTGTGTGTGTGTGTGTGTGAAATACAAGCAAATAAATTTTATAAGCTTGTTGCGTTGGACGATTAAATCTAATTGTAAGAGATTTTGTTGGGTTGATAAGTTCGATATGCGTGTCCGATGTAATCAAAGATTCGATTGTTCGATACCATAGTGTTTTTCATGATTTTCCATACGATTATTTTGTTACAGATATTATTTTATAATTTATAATTGGAGCTTTTAAGATTAAACGTATCACAGATAATTACTATAATTAATTACTAACACATTTTTAAACAATAAAGTAAAACAATATTCGTAAAATTAAATGGATCACGACTTGTCCCTTTTTGAATTGAAAATTAAAAATTTATTAACTCGACCGATTGTGTATGTGTGCGGTACGTTTATTGTTAAAATAATGTTCTATTATCATAGATACAAATTATTTTATATATATATTTTTGTTTTCAAAATAACATTTAAAAAGAAAATATTTTTGAAATGGGGGAAAAAAAAATAAGAAAGGGTACTGAAATTTGTCGAGTACGTTCCTGGAAGGACAGACGTGACCTCAGGCGGCGGGAATCATAAAACGCAGGCGCAATCGCATCAGAGGAGTTTCACATTGAACGTCTCTGATAAAGGACGAAAAGCAGATGACTCTGTCTTACATTAGCTAGTTTCACGGTATAACCTACATTTCTCGTTTCTAGTTGAAATCAAAATTAATATCATTATTATCTAATAATCAAAACTAACCTGTCTTTTATCATAGGCATCTAATCTCTCGTCGGCTCTTTGTTTATCGTAAAGAATTCTTGCCAAGCTTCCACGTGGACGATAATTCCTTGAAATCGTTGTTGTTGTTGTCATCGTCGTCGTAATCATCGTAGTTGTAGTAGTTGTACTTGTGGTAGTTGCAATCGATGATGAACTCGTGCAAGAATTAACGAAACGCGTTGTTGATTGATCATCTTCAAATTCATTTTCCTTAGTTTTATCCTTGCAGGTAGAACTGAATTGTTGTAGGCGATTAGGTACGTCGGTGTTCTTCGCCATATTCAACATCAACACGAACACAACGACGAGAAACTGCAACGACAACAACACGACGACGACGACGACGACCTCGGCGACAACGACGAGGACGTATTTTTTTTAAAGACACGATTAAGAATGATACAAGAACATCTTTTTATCTTTCTTTATTTCTTTCTTTGTCGTCGTCACGATTAGGAACACGAACCAATCACCATAGACGATTTATACGATGTGCCGTTTAAAATCTATGTACAACGGTGACGCCTATATGCTTCCCTCTTTTTCTCTATATATCTTTCTCACTCACCCTCATTCGATCTCTTTCTCTTTCTCTCTTTTACACTAGCTCGCGTAAACACGTCCCTCGTTAGCACGTGGCCATGTTGGCGGACGCATTCGACGCACCCTGTCGAGACTTCTAACAAATTCTTGTATTTTTCTTTATCAAGGATTTCAACGCTGTCGGTAGGGTAGGAATCTACAATTCGACAATCGAAATTTTTCGGAGGCGCGAATTTTTGAAGAAGCTCCAATTATTATTAATTCCTTTTTTTTTTCTTTTTTTTTTTTTCACAGAATAATAATTATTTATTTAACAATGATATATAATATATAAATTATTATATTAGGTTAATCTCAGAGAGATTTTTTTTAATTTGAATACGCTTCGATCGTTGAGCAGAAAGAAAGAGATATTAAAAGGGGGGGAAATATGAAAATACGATGGATCTAAATATAACAGAGAAAGAGTACTTTTTTATGAATGCGCGCAAGTATGAAAGAGAATAAGTGATAGAGAGAGAGAGAGAGAGAGAGAGAAAGAGAGAGAGAGAGAGAGATGACGCGATCAGAGTTAAAAAGAAAGAGGGAGAGAGAGGTTAAAGAACGCGTCGAGGTGAATCGCGGATTATCACGGCGTAGTTTGCATTGTTGGAATGCGCGATAGCGATTACAGGATGGCAGAAGCCGAGTTGACTTTATAATTTCCTACGAGACAAGAATCGTTCTTTAAATCTTATTCGCGAGCGTAAGCGAAGGTGATTGAACTTGTCCGTTATAGTAGAATTATACTTCTCGTTTCTTTTACCGGTATCTCGACCTGTGATCCTGTCTTTCATGCGGTTAAGCGTACCAACTCGATCGTTTCACTTTATCTGCTTCTTTTCTTTCTTTTCTTTTTTTTTTCTTTTTATTATTCTCTTTATCATCTCAAAATCTCATTGTCAATTTAACACGTTTAATACTTTAATCACAATTGTTTATGATCAGCTAAGAGACAGAGAGAGAGAGAGAGAGAGAGAGAGAGAGAGAGAGAGAGAGAGAGAGAGAGAGAGAGGAACTAACAAATTTTTATAATTAATTGAGTCATTCATACGCCAAATTAATTAACTTTCAGCAAAATAAAAAGTGAATGAAAAAATTGATAAAGTAATTTAACATTGACGTATTATTTAAAATTGAACGACTATAAAAATATCTTCTCATTTTAATAGCCTTTTAAGTTTAATCATTAAAAAAATGTATTTATAAAAGCTAGATACTGATCGAGTGCTTTGATAATAATAACATTTTCAAAGTAAAGTTAATTTAGTTTACGAGTAGTTCAATGATTATTAATCAGATTGATAGATAAAAAAGAAAAAGAAAAAGAACGGAAAAATAATAAAAATTGTAAAGATTAATTTTCCAAATCCATATCTATATCTTAGTTTCGTGCTTCGAGTGTTAATAGTAAAAACGAAGACGATTACGCATTACCATCTGCTACCTGGGCTACGATGAAGCTCGCGCGTGTCTCGTACGAAATAGCAGCATAAAACTTTTAGGAGGAATAAATATAGCGAGATGGAGAGAGAGAGAGAAAGGGAGAAGGGGAAGAGTGGGTGGTTGAGGGTGGTTGTTGGTTGCTTCGGAGTTTCCTTCTCTATCTTTTTACGCGTATATATATATACATATGTACACTTACTAACGTACGCGTGTGTTATACGTACGCACACATATTTATATCTTACTTATAGCATATACATATATATATATATATATGTAATGGTAGAGGTCTATGAATATTTGAAATAGCATATTGGCGCACCGCGCACGATTTGCCTCCCTTCACGACGACTCGCCATACCGGCCTCTGATAATTCATTAATTTATGATAAGCTTGCCTCATACTGGCAAGGTCTCTTCGTTCTGGTATACACTTTCTACCGATCACCCTCCTCTTTTCCTTCAACCTCCGCCCCCCACACCACCACTACCACCCTTCACCTCATCCCACCTCTCACTCCCACAATCACCATCACAACCACCACTACTACCCTTCTTCTTCTTCATTCCTCGCTTCCCTGAACGTCACATAAATCATTTTCGCTTCGGACGTTAATTGCGAGCCACCCCTCGTTAACGGGAGAAATGAGATTTTTTTAATTGGAGAATTTTTCACCGCCCTCGATCGCAAGCCACGACATCTTTTACCTCCCTTCCCATCCCCACACCCCTTGCCCCTTCCCTTCCCTTCTTCTTCCAACACCTCATCTCACTTCACCTTCTTCTATTATTCTTTTTCTTTTTTTTTTCTCGCTTTCTTTCTTTTGCGTTGTTCTCCCTCTTACTCTAATCTTTTACACTTCTCTCGTTCCTGTACCATTTGGAAGTTGAAGCTCCTAACGCGTCGTTTCGGTTTAAAGAAGGAAGGTCCTCTTCTTCTTTTCCTTTTTCCTTTTTTCTCTCTTTCCATGGGTTGGTTCATCGTTTTCGCTCGAGAAAGCACAGATTAAATTCTTGAGATTGAATGTTAACCGTGGTGGCTACAGGGAGAAGCATTTTCACGGCTATCATTAAAAATTAATCGTCCGTGTCACGGGTGTCTTTCTTACTATTTTTTATCCAAGATCTAGAATGAAATAAGCACTGACAGATTAAAACTTTATCGATTGTCTATAATGTAATACTATATGACGAAAATCAAATATTACAAATACGAAATAATAATATAATAATTATTTGGTGTTCCTATTTGTACACTTATACCTATTGGGGTAAATTCAGAGATGTTTTGATATTTTAGGTTGAATTTTTTATTAAATAAAATATATATTCTTAAAAATATTTCAGTATTTTGTAAATATAACAATAGTGTACATGATGCGTGTGTATAAAATATTTTTATGACTCTTAAAAATTATTTCTTTGTACACAAAATGTTCAACACTCTCGTTCATTTATTTAAGTACACAGTGTTCAAATAATTTTACACTATCAACTTGTTTCGTATGACACCAAAAAATAATCTATAGATTATAATATATTTTTTTTCTCTTTCTCTCTCTCTCTCTCTCTCTCTCTCTCTATCTTTCTTTCTTTGTTTTTCTTCTTTAGGTGTAAAAATTAGTTGATCGTAAAGAAAGGCGTGAAATAATTCGATGGATGGAGTAAGAACGATCTCTCCCTTGTTTCTCGCGATCGATGAATTTGAGTTGTTGCCGAAACCCAGTGTTTAAGATAATGAGGTCGTCTTTTTATCGAAAGGATGGTAATTAATGGTACGCGCGTGGGAAACGTTAATTAGTACCGGGTAAAGGTGCAAACTGTTATTAGCTATATATATACCCAGCGTGCGCGCGGATACGTGCACACGCCGATGAGTTATCGTGTCTGTAATTACGTCGTTGAAAGAGAGAGAAAGAGACGAAAAAGAAATAAAGAGAGAGAAAGAGAGAGAGAGAGAGAGAGACCAATAATTTTTATGATGCGAGCATAAGCTAGCCACCTAGCTCGTCCAATATCGAAGGAGATACGATTAAAGCAAGTTGAATTTTTCGCAGTTCTCTTTGAGAGAAGTAATTTAATTACATGGCTCGTAACCAAGCAGATAGATAAGCATCACGACGATCATTCTTTTCTAATCTCGATGAAAACGTCGTCGAGTTGGAAATGAAACTTGATTTTCTATTTATGTTCCCAACTCTTACCCTTTTAATATATAATTATCAATTTTATACAAATTTTTCTTATATAAAAATTGTAACCTTTTTTTTTTATTAAACCTTACTAGTATAATATTTTTTCGAGATAACAAGAGATAATATATATATATATATATTTTCATTTTATTTGTAATTTATTTTAGAGAAAAGTTTTTTTTTAATGTATGAGCGATTGGAAATAGTGAATTAATAAGATCGCTTAAAATATTATTATTAAGTAATCGTAAGTTAAGTTATAGTCATTGCTGTTCAGCAAAATAAAGACATTATTATAATTATTATTATTATCATATTTTATATTTAACAAAAATATTTCAAAAAAAAAGAATCACAACTGCTTCGAAGAGTTGGTTGAAAAGTTTCGAGTCCCTCCCCCCCTTAAAAGCACCCTAACTTCGTTTAAAATAAAATAGAGTAGTCTGCACGTAGAAACAACAATTCTTTCTATCCTATGGTGTCAAATGTTGTTCAACCTGTTAAAATTTAATTCTCAATTAAAAGTAAACACATGTCACTATAATATTCGATGGTATCGAGTGATATAGAAAATGGCTGTAGGCGTTGAAACTACCACGTCGATTGATGAGATGAGAAAGAGAGAGAGAAAAAGAGAGAGAGAGAGAAAGAGAGAGAACAGATTCCATAGGAAGAATAAGAGAATAACAAGAAGTATAAGATAATAAGAAGAAGAAGAAGCGTGCTGACGATCATCAGCACACGAATGCGTTTGGTCTAGACACGCAGGTTTGCGCGCGGGTGCGCTTTACACGCATTCAGGTACGCACGCACGCACGCACGCACGCACGAACGAACACACGTACGAGAGGAGCAACGAAGGCTCGACTTTGGAAGCCTCAGGGCATGTAAGACGTATAGGCTTCCAGTCTTACGCATCCAGCAACCGTACACGAGGCCATACGTTCTACCACGCGCTAAACCACCATCTCTACAACTACTACTACTACTATTACTACTACTATTAAACTATTTCTATATATCTGCGACTAACACAACCACCAACACCATCATCGTAACACGCTGCGAGCCATCGGCGCCTTTTAGGAGCCATGAACGAGTAGTCCCTCTATCTCTCTCTCTCTCTCTCTCTCTTCTTATATTTCATATACATCGTCATAGTTCGTGGAGCATTCGTGTCTATCATAATTTTTTCTTTTTATTTTGTTATGATTATTTTGAATGATATTATATATAGGTAGCCAAGAGAAATTTCTTGACGAGTTTATCTTTCATCTAAAATAGCACAAACTTCCTTCGGCTACCTGATATTTTAAATATGCAAAATATTGTAACCCAAAAGAAAAAAAAAAAAAAAGAAAAAAAAAAGAAGAAGAAAAAACAAAGTTCGTGCAGTTTAATTAAAATAGAAATGAATGATACGC